AGCCCTTCGCTAACCTGGGTCTGGAAGAGAAGCCAAGGACAAACAAAAAGGGACAAATGTGTACATGAATGCAAATGTGATGAAGGCCCTGAAGGAAGAGAACAGGGAGAGGGAATAACTAGGGCCTGGGGGTGGGGGGGCTCTGAAGAGAGGCCTTTAAGCTTAAGGCGGCAGGAGAAAGRTCCACCTTCAAACAGTAGACGGAGAGAAGATTCCAGACAGAGAGGATAGCAGGTGCAAAGACCCTGGGGTTGAACAACAGCACGGCCTCAAGGAACATAAGGAGGCTGGTATGACAGGTGTGGGTGCCGGGAGAGACAAAGGTCCAGCCAGGCCAGGCCACCAGGCAGGCGGCACAGGGGACCAGGCAGGAGTTTGCATTTGAATCTGCTAGGAAGTCCTTACAAGGCAGATTTCCTTTGGGTTTTAGAAAGATCCTTCCAGCTCCTGAGCAGAGCTTTGGCCAAGGGGAAGCCATGAGGAGCGGGGAGAGGGGGGAGGAGGTTTGGGGAGAGTCCTGGTCCAGCTCAGAGTCTGGGAGGGRGGCGGGAGATGTAGCCCTGTCCACGAGGAGATCTGAGCTCTGAATTCCAAAAGCTGAGCCTGCGGGCGGCAGGTGCTGGCCAGGGGGAAGGTGGGGGTCGGGGCCAGCTGTCTCCAAGGGAGATGCTCGGGCTGCGGGAGGGTGGGGTGGACTCTCGGGGTCCCCCGAGTTGGGCTGCGAAATACACGGAGACCCAGGAGCCACGTCACCTAAGCCACAGACACTTCCCCTGGAGCCTGGGGCCGGGCACTGAGGGCTGGGACATCAGTCCCTGCTCCGGAAGAGCCACCRGCCAGCCCCGTGCGCACTGAGGGAGCCCCCTCCCGGGCCCACTGTGCGCCAGCAAGGAAGCTCATCAGCCAAATGCAGAGCTGGCGCTGAGTCCCGGCGCCCCGAGCGCGGAGCCCGTGGCAGGAAGACACAAGAGGCCCAGCAGATGGCGGGGACTCTCCAGGATCAGCCTGAAAGGTCACCGTCTGTCACTGCCCGCTGGCCGCATCCTCTTCTGCATCAGTGGAGGCTCGCACGCTGACTTCAGGCCCCGCTACAAGCTGCCGTGACATTTCCCGTGGGCTGACTGTGTGCCAGACACGGCGCAAGGTGTGCTCAGGCCTGACCTTCGCCCCACCCCGCCTGGGAGGTCTCCGGGATGGGAGTCCCACCTTACAAAGGAGGAAGGAGGAAGGGAAAGGTGGGTCAGGCGGCCAGCCCCCAGCCCAAATCCTCCGCCTCCTGCGGAGCCTGTTTTCTCCACCGCAAGACGGAAGAGAGGCTAAAATGATTTCTGGATTCTGAGCTCTTCCAGGTCCAGAGTTTGGAAAGTGCTTCTCTGAGGGGTCTGCACTCTGTTCCTTCACCTTGGAATAATTAATGGCTATTACCAGGGAAAGAGCCGATTGGCTCATTCATACTATGGTGTCCATGACTGATATGAGAAGCAGAGGTGAGTTAACTCAGATGTAGCAGGGATTCAAGTTCAGGTCTGATTGGCTCCAGAGCCTGGGCTGTCCCCTAAACATGGCATCACAAAGGCCACATCCTCTGGTTTAAGATTTTTTTTTTTTTTTTTTTTGTACTGGAGATTGAACCCAGCTGAGCTTAACCACTGAGCCACATCCCCAGCCCTTTTTATTTTTTATTTTAAGACAGGGTCTCACTAAATTGCTCATAATCTCAATAAGTAGCTGAGGTTGACCTCTAATTTGCCATCCTCCTGCCTCAGCCTCCTGAGCCGGTGAGATGACAGACAGGTGCCACCACCCCACCCCACCCCCAGCAGCAAGGTATTCTTCACACCTGTCACTACTCCCTGTCCTGGGAGAAGGGGCCCAAATGAGGATGAAGGAAGGAGGCAGGCGCAGTGAGGTCGGGGATGTCAACTATCAGAACTATGGTCTCCAGAGTCAAGGCTTCGGGTCCCCAAAGAGAGCCTGGGTTCAAGCCTCACTTCTAACTCGGCTTATTTCTGCAGGCTGTCTGCAAGGAGCCRGGCCTGGGAGCAGGGGACTGGACGCAGCCCTGCCCTGTCACTTCATCAGGGCCCGGTCCCCACATCTGTACAACAGGGAGGTGGCCCTTCCAGCTCTGGTGCTTGCAGTTCTGCTCACATCTGGGCCCCGRCTGCACCCCTGAACATTCTCCAGCAGGGAATCACCCCTGTGCCCCACTCAGACCTCCCCTTGGGGCCGGGCACTGGAAACCCAAAGCCGCAGTCACAGCTCTGGCCAAGCTCCCAGCAGGGCCTCCTCCTGCCCAGGGCAGCAAGGGTTGGGTCAGGAACACCTGGAGCGGACCCCACTGCCCCCAGGGCCCTCCCTCTGCAGAGTTCAATCTCTGGGCCTCTGTGAGTGGCTTTCACGATTCTCACCCAGCCTCTCGTTCCTACCAGTTTAATTATTGAGGAGGACTCTTGTCGCCAGCCTGGAACATTAAGTCTGTTAAAAGGGACCCAGGGACCCAGGGAATGCAGACCACAGCCGGCTGCCTCCTCGGGCTCCCTCCTGCCCTGCCTCCCCCTCCCAGCAGACCCCGCTGCCCACTCCTTCTCCCCCCAGGTCTCTACCTCTAGTCCCATCTGACTCTGTACAGCCAGGGGCCAGGACCCCTGCCCAACCCACTCCTTCCCTGTGACCTGAGGAAGCGCAGGCCAAACGGCGCCAGGCCCCCTCCATACCTGACCAGATGGACACAGGACAAGGAGCCCCAGGGGGCCCTGGGCTGGTCAAACACCACGGGGCTCCGGCCCTTCCCCCACCCCACCTTGCCATGGGGAGAGGATGGCACAGAGTYACAGTCACTGCCTGTCTGGGGTCCTGAGCACCTGTCCCAAAACAGCKGTGTTCCCAGGAGCACGCTCTAAAGCCTCACACTGAGAGGGACCATTTTTTGAGCTTTTGCAGGTATCAAGTGACCTGACCTCTGCTGAGAGGTCCTTAGAGCCTGGCCACCCTCTGGAACAGGGGAGGGACCTTCACTGATGTCATGGCTCTAAGCGCTGGGCCCAGACGCCTTATCATCTTTCTGCAAGACTCAGAGTCACAAAAGGTGTTGAATATGAAGATCAAATAAAGACCCCCCAGCAGCCCCTAGCAGCATGGCCTCCTGGAGGCTGGGGTCTGTGCCTGACAGGCAGTCAGGGGGCCCAGGCCTTRAGCCCTCTGCTGGATGCCCCAGGCCACCTCCCCTCCCCAGGCCTGGGTGAGGCAGCTGAAGGGCCAGCCCAGCATCACCAGGCCCCGGCCCTCCTGCCCCTGCGTCCACCCCAGGAATGGTCCAGCTACCCATTCCCAAACTGTCCCCCGARGAACCCTAAGAGATCACCCTGGGCAACACAGTCCCCAGGGACTGCTCAAATTGCCCACTGCAGGGGCAGAATGGCTTCCAGTCCCCTGCTTCCTCTTTGAACCACATGCAAATTTGGCATTGTTCATAAYGCATCCATTTGTTTTAAAATTAAAATCATGTTTTCATCCAGATCATCAAATAAAACCAACAGTCCAGGAAAAAGGACCSTACTTGAGGACCACATGGCTCTGCGGGGACACTGCTGATGGCTGTGTGACAGAGGGGTCTGGCCTATGGCTAACTCCTACCCCAGCCAGAGCTGGTGACAGGACAACTCAAGCCTGCTTCCTACTCCCCTGTCCCGCCACGCCACCCCCAGCCCCCACTCTCACCTCCAGTACAGACCCTCCTTTCCATTCATCACCCCTCTTGGCCCACACCCTGAGATGCCCCCAGGTACTGATGCATCCYGGGAGTTAGGTCAAAGGGTTCCAGGAAGGGTCTGGGTGACAGGGACCCACCCTGCACGGTGCCAGGCAGCTTCTCCCAGTTCTCTGCCAACTCTGGAGACAGGGGAGAGGAAGGGCCAACTGCAGAGGCCAAGATCTGACAGCTGCCTGAGGGAGGGACCCGGCAGCTTCCCCTCCCCTCCCCCCCCAGCCTCTCCCCCTCCACACTCACGCCGACACCAGCACGCAGAGCAAACGAGGCAGGCTGAGGGAGAGAAGCGGGCACATAATTATTGGTAAAATGCTTGTAATGTTTTTCCCTCGCCCCGGTAGCTTTCAGTTGTTTTAGCAGCTTAGCGAAGCACTTGGCTCCAATTGAATTGCAAATCAGCAGCTCYTGCCCCGGGAAGAGAGGAAGGGAGGCGGCACAGAGGGGGCAGGGCGGGGTTCCAGAAGGAGAGGGAGAAAGGTGTGTTCGCAGGAAGGGCAGAAGGAAGGCCCTGGGAAAGGGGGGGGGTGCTCAGTGGAGGGCCCGGGGCCCAGAAATGGAGACCCAGCTCCCGGCACCCGCGGCCTCCTCCGCAGGCCCAGCAGCCCCACACCCTTCCAGAAAACCAGGACGCGGTTTCCAACCCAATCACGGGCCGGGAGGGAGGCACCAGGGGCTTCCTCAACTACCCAGAAGAAAACATCCCTTCCCTGGGAATTGCAATTATTTGAAAACAATGTCAAAACAAAAGTCTTGCTTTTTCTCCCTGCAAATCTCCAGCGTTCCCACTTCCGCTCTCTTTTCATCCGCCTGCCCTTCCTTCTCCCCACGTGTCTGTCTTTTCATCTGTCTGTCTGCCCATCTCCTCCCTTCTTCTGTATTACCCTCCTGGTTCCAAGTTCCCCGGGGAGGCACGGAGTCCCGCCCGGGGCTGCCAGCGGCCGCTGCTTCAGCACCACGGTCAGCACCATGGTCAGCACCACGGTCAGCGCTGGCGAGCCGGGTCCCTCCGCGTGGCCCTCGCGGCTGTGCCCACGCTCTGATCACGGGACAGGACAACACGCTGAGGCCAGAGGACTGACCCCGGCCCTCAGACACGGCTCCAGGGGAGACTCCCGAGGAGGCAGGAAGGGAAGAGGAGAGGAGAGAGACACGGGCTGGCTAGGTCCCCTGGCCTTGGGGGACTAGGACAGTTGGCGGAAGCACACCCCCGAGCCCCACCCCGGGCACTAACCTTAAAGAGGCGCAGGATGTTGGCCACCATGATGGAGACCGAGCTCCCTGAAGCACCGATGACACCCACCACGCGCTCGGGCTTGGTGATGATGGGCGGGCCACCGCTGCCACAGCGGACCTCCGTGCCGTCCTTCTCGATGAGCGCCTGCACAAAGGTCAGTGACTGCTCCAGGGCATGGGTGTCCCTCGAGCAGGTGTCCAGAATGCGGGCGCCCAGCGTGATGTTGGGCAGCAGGTCCGGGTCATTGTTGATGCGATCCAAGGCAAAGAGCATGGCCTCCAGCCGRTGGATGCCCTTCTCCTTCTTGAGTTCTCCACAGGCCTTGCCCTCCGAGCCCCGGCCATGCACCGGGAACAGGCCTCCCAGGGTGATGTCCCCGTCTATGCGGATGGAGTTCATGTGGGGGTGGCCTTTGGGCTTCCCCAGGGAGGAAGGCACCCAGGGGCCGTAAAGGCTGAGGAGCAGGCAGAGGGGCAGCCGGGCCCACCACCAGCCCCAGCCTCTCTTTGCAGGCATCTCGGAAATACCTAGAGACCCATGAACGTGGCCCCTCCTAGCCCTCACAGGCCCCGGGGCCTCCAGCCTGGGTGCGCAGGGGCAGCTGCTTCAGCAGTAGGGTGGCCAGGGGTGGCCAGCTGGGCCCGCCATGCTGGGGCTCTCTCTGCCCTCCTCCTTGTCACCTGGGCAGTGCTCAGTGGCCCACACAGTCCAGGCCCACAGACGGCAGGCAGGGGCCGACCGGGCAGCAGGAAGGCTCTGATCCCCAAGTCCTGCAGGCCGGATCTTCATGGATGACTGTGGAAGGGTGGAGGGGTCCTAGCCCGTGTATCCTGGCATCAAGGAGAAACCAGCTCCAGTCCTCTCCTACCACCTGAGAGAGAGAGAGAGAGAGAGAGAGAGAGAATATCAAACACAAGCCCAGAGAAGACATTAGCTATTCTGATCTCTCATCAGGAGCCTGGGAGAGGGAGATACTAGAGGTTATCGCCAAAGACTCCATAAATCTCCTCTACTGGGTTTCCTCCCAGCTGCAGCTCAACTCTGGTTGAAATGGGAGAGTTTGAGGCAGAAATTAGGTCACGTTTGAGGACTGCCCAGGGCCAGTGCCCACGGCCATCAGAGGCCCAGGYGTCAGACAGCACACTTCCTAGGAACCGCAGGAAGGGCTGGGGAGGAGGCCTTCCTCAACATGCCTGCAGGAGCCAAAGAAAGAAGCCAGCTTTGCCATGCCCAARCCCATTTTAGAGATGAGGAAACTGAGGCCCAGAGAGACTCCCCAGGCTTCCCAGCTCTAGGCTCTGGAATTGGAGACTTGTTGACTCTTTGGGGACTTAGAAAYCAAGAAGGCAACAAGGGGTGGCTGTGGTTCCCCAGATGAGCCCAGCTTGGAGCTGCTGATGCTGAAGGCCAGGAAAGGCCCGGGAGATCGGGGATGTGGAGTTCTGGATTTTCCTCCTGATCCATGAGGACATGGGGGGCCCTCCACTGGCACGTTCCCACCCAGCGGCTCAACTGTCCCAGGCAGAGGATAAAATCCARCCACTCCTTTTTGCTCCCTCACCCTTTCCTGACTCTCTCTCTCTCTCTCTCCTTTCTGGATCACCCTTCGCCACTCCCCACACCCCTCCCTGTGAGTGGGGCTCAGGTTACGGCCTGAGCTACTGCACATTATTATGATCATCGTCATTATTATTGTTGTTGTGATTAAATATTTATCTGCCAGGGTAGAGGAGAGAACACCAGCTCTGCCTCATTCTCACTGCTAATTTGGGCTAATTTCCCCCGGGGGTTCCTTCCCTTTCCCAGGCTCCCTGCTCAAAGCCAGCAGCCTCCTTCCCTCCACCTAGGGAGGCAGGGAGTCAGGGCTTGGCTGGGAGGCCAGCTCCCGAGTCCCCCTCCCCGGGGATTGGACAAATGCAGACCAGGATGCCTCTTGGCCATTCTATGCCTCAGATTCTCTAGAAAGCTGAAAAAGGATTCGTGTTTGGATTGAGAGGTTGCCCCAGAGACATGGGCACCTCCATCAAGGCCAAGTGGAGGTCTTGGATCCAGCCCTCCTCCACCCACCATTCCCCCGACAGAGGCCCTGACTGCTCCAGTTCTGGGCCAAGAGGAAGGAGGGACAGGGTGTGACATCCCAGAAGCCAGCCTCAGCTCCTGGGCTTCGGCCTCTGCAGACCCTCACCTCACTCACTGAAATGGTCCCTCCACTTGAGCTCCTCAGGAGCCAAGAGTATGGCTACTAATTCCCTCTAGCCACACTCTGCGGGCAAACCAGTGGCCCGAATGCAAATCATGGCTCTTCCAATGTCACCCTGCCAATCAAGATGTGGGCAGGTCTGCAGTGGCACATGCCTGTAATCCCAGCTACTGAGGAGGCTGAGGCAGGAGTACAGCAAGTTCAAGGCTGGCCTCGGCGACTTAGCAACACCCTGTCTCCAAACAAAAAATAAAAGGGGCTGGGAATGWGGCTCAGCTGGAAAGCTCCCCTACCATCCCCAGCCAGCGCCAGACAGAAAAAAGAAAAAGAAAAGCTGGTGTGGAAGCCAGCTCAGCCACCCGGGAGCTCTGAGGGAGTCCAAAGATGATTTCATAATGCCACCGTCTCCAGGAACCAGTGACCCAGGGCTGAAGGCCAATGCTTCCAAAACCCAGGGGATGGGGAGGCCAGGTAGCTGGAGCCCACACCATCTTGTATATGAGTCTATGAGATCTCTTTCCTAGACAGAGTGAAAGGAGGCTGGCGCTGGGTTGCTAATGCCAGCAACAGGCAATTCAGAAAAGAGAAACTGGAGAAGCCCCTCCACAAGTCCAGTCTGTTACTACTGTGCTGGAGGCAAAGCACAGCCTGTCTGGTCCTCAGTTTCAAAATCTGTAAAATGGGTGAATTGGAGCACAATCCAGTCTTTGGGCTATACTTCCCCTTGGGCATATTTTCTGTCGTCATAAGATGGTAGAATCATCAAGAAACCTATGTACAGGCAGGGTTCAAGGATACTAGACTTCCTGCTGCAGGTGGGAGAGAGTCTACTCAAGGAGACACTGTCTGTCCGGTGACAGGGCCCAGGGAGCCAATGGCTGTGCACAGTTGCCTGGTGGGCACCACTCTCGGTGCCTTCCTTACGTTTTTCCGCCCTGTGAGCCGTGTGGTGTTTTTGTCCCCATCTCACACTCAAGTGACAGGGCACCGGGGGATGTGAGGGTGTGCAGGGTGCCCGCACCCCTGCAGCTCCCTGCACTGGACCAGCCGGCCAATCCTTCAGTCCCTGCCAGCCCCGACGCCCTGTGAGTCCGTGATTGGTTTCCATGAATTTCAAATGGAGGGATCTTGGCATGGTGACAGAGTGTGCCACAGCAGGGCAGACTCAGCCCGGGAGGCTGACGCGCAGCCGCTTCAACAGTCGGGCCCTGCTCAGGCTTCCAGATCCTTCATGGGGGCTCGGTGCTGGCTTCCCCGTGAGGCCTGCGCACATCCGAGCTGAGCAGCGTGTGCACACGGGGACCCAAGGGCAGGAGGCCTTGGAGAGGACAGGAGCAGACACCCACAGGGCCAGAACCCAGAGCCCCGAGGCCCAGGCCCTGCCCCAAGCCCCTCAGATCCCTGCAAGCCCTCCCTCCTGGGGCCTGGGGCCAGCCCCTGCCCGCAGCAGGGCCCACTCCAGCCCTCGGTCCGACTGGGCCTGCCTTTCTGAGCTCCTCCAGAGCCGGGCAAACCGCTGCCTCTTTTAGCCTCCCCTCCTGCCTTTGATCATGTAACAGGAACAAGGGGAAAGTAAAAATACCCTGAGTGAAAGAAGCCACCGAGAGCAGGGGCGGGGGAGGCGCCCCGTGCTCCTTCCCACCGCTGCCTCCACCAGCCCAGGAGGGGGAGCAGGCCGGGGCAGGAGGGGGTCCTTCTTTGAAGTCCTTTCCCCCATCCTTAGACTCTCCCCACCCCCCTGGCCAAATCCAAAATAGCCAGGGAAGCTCAAGCCTGGGGCAGTGAGTGGGGGGCCTCCCCAGGGAAACCCCCAGGACAGCGGCAGATCCCAGCCAAGCCCACCGGAGGGGGGCCTCGCCCCACTTTTCTCTCCTCTATTTCCTGGCTCCTCCCCTGAAGGATGAGGGCCTAGAAGGAGCAGGGACCAGGGCAGAGGGGAAGGGAGGCCATCCTTCCCTCTCCACACAGAGACAGTTCACAGGCTAACAGTGTTTTCCAGAACATTCTCTTTAGTGAACGGGGACATTTGGAGAGCTGGCAAACAGCTGCAGGCTGCCCCTTACCCCTTGGCCACAGTCAGGGCAGGGGAGYCCCCAGCTGAGGGCCCCTGGCCCCTGAGGGAGGGCCCGTGTGGTGGGCCTCGGGGATCGCTGCTGCCCTGAGGAGCAGGCTCTGCCCTCCCCAGCCAGGCCCGAGCCAGGCAGAACCACAGGYCACAGAACAACACCAGATCTGAAGGGAACCACCGAGACTTACTAAACCTCCAATTATTTTTCACTGAGCTGCTCTTTATTCTTCCAAAACCAACGAAATAGAACAAAACCCAAACAGTAGAATAAAGAGAGGGAAGAGCTTTGTACCTTGCTCCTCGGGGTTGGGGCCAGAGCCAGAGTCACCGTCTCCTGCACTTGGCCTTCTGARGGCCTTCCCACAGGAGACAGGCAGGTGCCGTCAGGGTGGCCAGGAGCGCACCCCACACCTCCTTCCCTGCGTCTTGCTCCTTTGTCCTGTGGCACCCGACCCGGCCTCYCGCCTCCCACCTTTCACTCTAGTCACCCTCCCTGTACACAGCCCAGCCCTGCCCAGGGGCTCAGGAAGCTCTGGGACTGCGGGAAGGTGGGCAGAGCGGGCTTTGGGTCTCCTGAGCTGTCCAGACGCCTCATGGGGACAGTGCGAGGAAACTGAGGGACTCTCCCCTTCCTTCACCAGTGGCCTCTCTTTGCCACCCCCCTGGCTGGGCAGAGGTGTGGTTTGCTGGACRGTCTCATCCCAAATGGACAGGGCCCAGATCCTGGTCACCTGGAGCCTTTCCCCCAACCCCAGCTGCACAGCAAGCCAGGCCCCGTGTGATCCCCACCGGTGTGACCAGCTGGCACCTCCCAACCCTAGAAGCWCAGCCATCCCCCACAGCCCAGGCTGGCCTCCCCAGCAGGGGGGAGAGGAGTAGACCAGGGACTTGAGGGGAGGTGACGATGACCAGCCCTCCCAGGTAGCCCATCTTATTACAGGAGTCTTCTCCAGACAGTTCTTCACCGCAGGGGCCAGGTTCTAGTGGTGGGGCTGGGGACAGGGTTTGGGGCGGTAAACTCAGGACTGATGGGCTGGGGGTGGAACCTTGGACCCCCAGACCAGCGAGGACTCATTCTGAAGGGCAGCCCTGCTCTAAGAGGGCTCTGGCTCCCCAGCCTCCTTYCCTGCGCCCCCCACAGGCTGACTGGTCTCCCCCACCTGGACTGGGAGCCCCTCGGAGCTCTAAAACCCAGACTCCACTCCAGCAGCCCCYTCCCTGTTCTGCCACAATAAGGGCCTGACGCAGAGGTGACCGGTTCTGTGCTGGCCATGGGTGAGACGCACTAGAGAAATAGGTATGGTGGGGAAATAGGTATGGAAGTAAAGGAAGGGAGGAGGAGCGGGAGGAGGGCTTGATTCCCTAGCTTCATGCCGGTGGAAACTAAGGAGAGAGCAACTTGAAATCGAGTGTCCCTGCCATGCCCCAAACTGTGGTTCCCTCCTTTCAAAAGGCAGCTGAGCTCCCTCCTCCTCCAGGAAGCCTGCTCTGATTTCCCCAGTTCCCATCACCTCGGGCCCCTGCGGAGCCTGCCACSTTGTTTTTTGACCCTGATGACCTGGAAACACACTAAGGGTCAYGTGACAAGCACCCTCCTCATCTC